AGCTTCTGTCTGAGAAAAACAGGAGGGATTCTGATCCTGTAGCAAAAGACTCTGTCTTTTCTAGAGACCTTATAGAATAAAATCATGTGATGAGATATGTTTAAAGTGGGTTAGATTACTGAGATTACCAAGGAGGTAAATTAGCACAATAGAGAAGCAGAATATAAGAATGTGAAAGTGGCCTTTTATTTAAAGAATGTGGAGAGGAGCTCACAGCCACCAAGGGTTTGCCCCCCCCCCAACTGACTATGGGGTTATGAGTTATATGTGACTTTTGACTGGATGTGGTGCTTGGAGGGGACATTGATGTCATGCAAGGAGCTGATGGAAATTTTCTTTAGGCCCCTGGGAAAGAAAGAGGAAGTTGTATTCAAGGAGAAAAGAGGAAGTGGCCTTATGAGTAAGCATCCCTGATTTCACATTCTTCCACCATGAACTACAACCATGAGGTCCTGTAATTGTTTGAAGGGCAAAGCTCTTTCAAGTACATCCTTTGGTTTGAATAAAGAAATCAAAACAAAGAATTTTTGCTATTTGTTTTCCTCCATGGCTGTTGGTAAACAATTCAGAAGAAATATTTTGAGTCAATTCCTTAATGCATTGTCGATACCATAACCAAAATTACAGATCAGTTCAGTTTCATAAAAAGAAGCAGCACTTAAAGGCAGGGTTAAAGACTTCAATGTTAGTATCCATGGCATGGTGAGATCAACAATGTGTGATACAAACTACTACTGATTTCTCTGACTTCAAGAAAGATAAAAGTTTATACTGATATTGTTATACTTGAATGAATCTCCAGGTCTACTATGTCTGATATTAGGTTTTTGTCCTGTAAAGTCAAAGAATGAAGTTTAGGATCAACAGAGATTAAGAGAATAGACTTATTCAGAGAAAAAGAGCTGCCTGAGAGAGAGAGAAGGTATCCTGAGCAGGTTGCCAAACACTGTCCATTCTAGGGACCTTTATAGAGTAAAATCATGTGGTGAAGTAAGTTTAAGGTGGGGAAAACTAGGAACTCACAATGCAGATGGGCATAAGATGGGACAGAGTTATGGTAGCCAATAAGATTATAAGTTCAGGTAAAGTTGATTTAATTGGGAACAAAGGGGGAAGGGAGTCACATAGAAAGCAGGCATTCTTAGGCAGCTGTGTCTCTTCCCTTAGGGGTTTGGGAGGGTGACTCCTGAGTTCCTCAGGATGATAGGAACTATTTAGAATGTCAGTCAACTCCGGACCCTGTAACAGCACTGTTTAGAAAATTGATTACAGATGTCTTGTGCTCTGGGTGAATGTTCTGGGGATGACAGTGTGCAATGTATATACCATTGTTGCCCCCTGATTGACATGTTTTGGAATTTAATTTTAGTTGATGTGCTCTTTTTTCCTTGAAATCAAATGGATTTGAAAATTAAAAGCCTGAGGAAAGCTCTTCAGTACAAACACTCCTCTGTCGAGCTGAGATCACCACTCTAGAAGAATGGCAGCTCCAGAAGTCTGTGCACTACAGTCTATCATTTGGGATCCTCTCTTGCAGGGAGGGACTCCTTTCTCTGTTTATTCTTGACTCAGAAGGAGGACAGTAGAGCAGGAGTCAATCAGTGATGAAGGGGCAGGCTATATGAACTGTCCAATCAGATGGGCCACTGTTGGCTGTGACTTCTGTCTGTTCTTGTGTCTCAGCATGATTTACCTGTTCTGAGTACAACAGTGGTAACAAAATGCTTGCTGGATCTCATTTAGTACTTTTGATGTCCTGTGGCCTGCTTGGGAAAAAAACTGAGAGATCCTGGAGCCATGGAATGGTGAGGTTGTGGATAGGCGCCCAGAATTAGCGTGGATTGGGCGAAACCAGTTACAAGTGTTTAGGAGTAGTTCCGGTATCTGGAGCCTCAGGTATTTTGTTAGCTTCAGCTCCTGAGGTCCTCCAGCTTTGGCCATGGCTCATTCACTATTCCTTTTGCCTCTTGCTGTTGGCAAGGGTAATTTGGGGTCCCCAGAACCCTGGCTTCACTATGACAGCAGCAGCCTCAAGTATCATCTTTGAAATTCACTGCTAGCCTGGTAAGTCCACCATCTTAGTCATTGGGCAGAGCTTGGGAAGACCTTGACTATGATGCTTTTGTAGTTTGTAGAGCAGTAATGAGCTAGGTCTATGCTCTCTTTCCGCAGAGAAGCAGATCTGGAATGTCCAGAGTTTATTAATGTATGTAATGCAGGGCCTCATAGCCACAATGGCTCAACTTAAACTTTGGCTTTTCTGTACTTATAGTGATCTCCTAAATTTATATATGTTCTCCTATTTCCATCCACATGACAGGTAGTGACAAAGGTCCTGAGAATTCAGAGATATGTAATACTGTGCCTCAGTGGAGAAAGGCTTCCGAAACAACTGGTGAACACCTGTTTATTATACAGATCAGTGCAAAATAATTTCTGATCATACTTAATTATTTAGGTGGCACCTCCACTCACAGACTAGGTTTGTGAGAACAGCCATAGAGTTTTGAAGTCTGAGAAAAATGAAGCAAATATGAAAGTGTTATCAAGGACAGGGTAAAAAATTGTTAAGGACAAATTCCAGAAAGGGCTACCTGTTAAATTCTCATCAAAAAATGCCAAAATTTAGGCATTTGCATGGACATATACGCATGATATCCTTCTGAATGGAATGGAATAGGGGTGTCATCTCTGAATTAAGAGCTGATTTAGTAGCTTGGTTGTTCATAGACAGTTTAAATATGGAAATGCTCTACAATGGAATTTACTAAGTGGTGTAAAGGAAAATCTCTAAATAGAAATTTTGCAGTGATATCAATAGTTTGACATGAAGGGTTTCCTGCTGAGGATGGATCAGAGGAGTATGGAAAGGATGTGCAAGTGACTGACAGGATGCAGGAAGCCAATAGCAGGACATACAACAGAGAGGGTCTTCACTGAAAGTCAGGTAGTTCTTAGAGTAAGTAAACTTGGGTTATGGTTGCTTCATTGAGGTGATCAACACCAGCTCTGGCAACAAACAATCAGTATTCCACATCCCTGTCAATCCATAATTTTTGTGTTCCATACTTGAGATCTAATTTGATTATCTCTATTTATGCCCCAGTGTCATGAAGGTAAATTTTGGATTTTTTTGTACCAAGGATTGAATTCATGACCTATGCTTTCCAGGCAGGTGTTCATGCCCCTGAGCTAAATGTGCAACTATGAAAATGTTTTCTGTGTAGTATGGACGATATCCACATTGTTTCTGAGAAAGTGTTGAATATTGTTGGAATTTTTCTGTATTGTATGGCTATAATTTTTTTTTAAAACAAACCAAAGTTGTCTTATGCAGTCTCTTTTTAAGTTTCACTTTGTCTGTTCAGTGTCTCAATCAGGGTTTGTCTATTTTAGACAGCTTTGTAACTTAGGATAGCCCCAAATTCAAGGAAGAAATCCTTCACCAGCCTCCCAAGATATATTTCTTATATTTGAATTGAAAGTGATCACTTGGTGACAGTGAGTTATAATTTACAGCTTGGGCCTGGTTTCATTTTATATACATATTTTAAAAATACAGCTGTTTTCCACTAACACTTGAGTTATTATTTATATACCATATTTGATGTTATTTATATTTTGTTCTATGAAACCAAATTTATGTTTCAAAATGCTGCTTAAGTATATTAAGAACAAAGTACTCATTGGCCTAAATGAGATTTGAAGAGACATCATCTGTAGTCTATCAAAGTGATTGATGAGATTTTTTTAAATTTTGAAATTGGTAAAATACAACAGAACAAGGCAGCATAAGGTCAACTAAGATAACACAGTGAAATTGGTACACAACTTCACAACAGGTTACTGGGATAACAGTAATAGGTATCACAATATATTTTGTTATCTTTGTCATAGTTGTTCTTTAATCACATATATCAAAATGAGATGAAATACAGAACGTTATAGAACTTATCAAAACAGAATATTGAATAGAGCATTACCATTAATCAGAATAGAGTGAAACAATAATAAAAACATTTTCCTTCAAAGAGATAGTAGAAGGAAGTCCCCCTTATTTGCTATGGTCTACTTCCCAGGAGATGCTCAGATTTCTGGTTCCCATTTGCTAATGGGGGGGGTGACAGGAGAAGAGGGGTAGGGAAGTGGGATGTTTGATTCTAGGTGGTGAATCAGTAGGTTCACTATTGCTTAGTAGGGAGACAGGTTGGTTGTTTGGTTTCACAGCGCCCTAAGTTCCAACATAGAATGGATCTTAGGCACTGCTGCTGGTTCTCCCCCTGGAAGGGCTGCAGTTTTCCAGACTGTCAGTGCTCACCAGGGAGGGGAGGTGCTTGCTTGGCTTCCCAGTATCCTAAGTTCCAACATGGCATGGATCTTAGGAGCTGCTGCTGGTTATCCCCCTTGAAGGGCTGCAGTTTTCCAGACTGCCACCGCTGACCAGGGAGGGGAGGTGCTTGCTTGGCTTCCCAGGCAATTGATGAGACATTTATCTGCCTTTGTGCTTTGTGGTTGCTGGTCCTGCAGGCTTCTCACTGTGAGCTCTGCTTTAGAGAAAGTGCACAGGGAATCTTGCCATGACTCAGCACAAGAATCAGTGCTCCTATTTGGCTGTTATATTAGCAGTGAGTTGCAATCTAGCATCAAATTTGCTGACTTCAAAAATGTGTATAGACACAAAATTAACGACCAAGACATGGATTTAAATTTGAACAAATCAGTCTTCATTCAGCTGTTTTGTTTGGCTTTATTTGTTGAGTTTAGTTTTGTTTTATTGAGACAAGCTTTCTGTATGTATATCAGCTGGATTTGAACACCCTATAGAGCCTAGAATTGCCCTGACCTCACTTATGCCTTCCTGTCTCGCCTTTTGAGTGCTGAGATTATAGATATGCAAAACCACACTTTGCTTTTGATTCTGATTTGTAGGAGAGAATTTAAGATATCCCAAACCTGGGGTCTCAACCTTCCTTTGAGAAATATATGTATGATCCTTTAGGAGGCGGTGATTTTAGAGGATGTGGTTGTGAACTTCAGCAATGAGGAGTGGAGTTTCCTGAGTCCATCCCAAAAGAACCTCTACAGAGATGTGATGGGTGAAATCTTTAGGAACATGGCTACAATAGGTAAGGATGAAATCTTTTTGGCACTCATGCTGTCAGAATATTGTTTGTTGCTCATTAGTGCTGTTTTGTTAAAAAGAATATGAAAATATTTTTAAAAATAGCTAAGACCTGGACACATTATATCATAAATCTAAACAAAATCTATTAATTTGTATGTATTACTCAACTGAGTCCTGGTATTTCTATCTCTACAATTCAGGAGGACTTGGAGATATCCAGGAAGCTGAAAAAGAATGCAAAATTTACTGGAGATACTTAAGGTAATTCACACTCACAAGGAGAGGAATGTTCCTGAGTAATTAGTGAGTCAGCAGAGAAATGACCACCAAAGAAATGAGGCACCATTTAATTTAATGTCAGTAATATTCTCCAAAGATGTATAAGCTAGTGTATATATGAGGGAATTAAATCATGAAAATGTATGACATTGCATAGAGATGTGTATGAAAGGCATACACTTTGAGTTATGACATTCTCCCTTCAGTTTTTCTACCCGTATATACATGTGAATACAACACATTCATTATCTAACAATTGCTAAGATTGCAATAGAATTTGAAATAAAACTGAGTGCTCATGTTTCCAAGCCATGTTCTAGACAATCGGCAATTCTGACTAATATTCTTAGTAGGCTGGTGGAATGTTAGTGCACTCATTTTGAATATCAGTATGCAGTTGTCTCTACAAATTCATCCCCTCATACTTGTCCTGGATACTTTTAAAATCTCAAAATCTGCATAAAATACTGATACATGCTTATTCATATACAAAGCAGATCAAGTTATAACAGATCAGGCCTTGAAGCTTATCTATTTATCACTGGGTTTGTAGAGAAGGAAAATGTTAACAGACTCTCTGTGATTGTGCATTCTTGTAAACCCAGCACACTAGGAATCAGATTTTGCAGAATGGCAATTTCAAGATCAAACTTCACAGCTTAATGATCTATGAAAATCTCTTAAAATAGATTTTTAAAAAGCTATAGATTTATGCTAATACCTGTTGTTCATTCCCAGCCTAGAATGGAAAAAATGTGTTATATAATGTCAAAAAATAAATAATATAATGTCATTTCCCATAAGAATTAGCTGGGTCTTTCACCCATCAATTCAGTGAAATAGCTCAGCTATAAAACCTAAAATGACACAGGGTTTCTTTTAGATGAGAAACCAAAATACAAAATGTGGAATGAAATGAAACAGAGTTGTTAGAGAAAAGTAAGACTGACCATATGGAAAAGGGAACTACAGGTTAAGGACAGAAGGGAGATTGTGATGGGGAAGCATATGAGAATAATCTGCATGTGATACACATATGTACCCATGCCCAAAGTGAAGCTAAAGATTATGCATTTCAAAGTACCAACTTTTAAGGTTTCCAAATGTGTACCATTCTTTTGGGAATGGTTGTTTTCAACATATCTTACAAGGCCATTCTGTTGCTTCATGGTCAGAATTTCTTAGCAGGCATTAAAAACAGAACTTGATATTAATGCAGTCATTAAACGGAGACCAATTTCACTGTGAATTTTTCTTTTTTAAATTTAATATAAGGAAAGATTAAATAAGGCAAAATAAGTAGAAATAATACTGCTTTCAAAGTGAAAAAAAACAGTAAGAAATCGCAAGATGATGATTACAAATGCTGATCATAGAAATAGTTATGAAATACAAAAGTGAAACATATGAAGTGGGGATTCAAACAGTGAGACTGCAAACAGTTTTGTTCAATTCTCCAAGAAAAGCTTAGTAATATGGTTATAAATCCTATATGTGATTTTTTCTTTACAGAAATGACAAGCTAGGGAAATCCTATGGACATACATCTTGGAAGCAGTGTAAAGAAGTATTCCCTTGTACTGCAGAAAGTAATGTGAATGTGAAAGAAACAGAAACACACCACAATGTTCAGATCCATGAAAAATATTGCAGTGGAGGGAAACCCTACGTATGTAAGCAATGTGGGAAAGTTTTTAAAACACGTGCATATTGTAAGGTTCATGTAAGAATTCACACTGGAGAGAAACCATATGTATGTAAGCAATGTGGGAAAGCTTTTAACACACGTACAAATTGTAAGGTACATCAAAGAATTCACACTGGAGAGAAACCATATGTATGTAAGCAATGTGGGAAAGCTTTTGCCAGACCTGAATGTTGTAAGCAACATGAAAAAGTTCACACTGGAGAGAAACCCTATGTATGTAAGCAATGTGGGAAAGCTCTTACCAGACGTGAATGTTGTAAGCAACATGAAAGAATTCACACTGGAGAGAAACCCTATGTATGTAAGCAATGTGGGAAAGCTTTTACCAGACCTGGACGTTGTAAGGAACATGAAAGAATTCACACTGGAGAGAAACCCTATGTATGTAAGCAATGTGGGAAAGCTTTTAACACATGGGGAGATTGTAAGGTTCATGAAAGAATTCACACTGGAGAGAAACCATATGTATGTAAGCAATGTGGGAAAGCTTTTAACACACGTACACATTGTAAGGTTCATGAAAGAATTCACACTGGAGAGAAACCATATGTGTGTAAGCAATGTGGGAAAGCTTTTAAAACACAGGGATATTGTAAGAAACATAAAAGTTCACATTCAATATAAAACCAGTGTATATAGGCATCATGAGAATGGTTTCAGCACATGTACATATTGCATAATGCATGAAAATCTTCACACTGAGCAGAAAACTTGCATATGTAAGGAATGTGGGAAAAATTTCAGCAGAAATGCTCATTGTCCAATACATTATAAAATTTACATGGTTGAGAAACTCTGTGTGTATGTGAAGAATGTGGGAAAGTTTTCACCACACATGGATTTTGTAAAATACATCAATGACTCCACACTGGTGAGAAACCCTATGTATATAACAATGTGGCAAAGCTTTACCACATACAGTCATTGCAAAACACATGAAAGAATTCACACTGGGAAGAACCACTGGCTATGTAACCAAGTGGAGACAATTTCAGCAGCCAGACTGTAAGTGAAATACATGAAAAAATACTCACACAAGAGATAAATCCTATGTGCTATGGGAATACTCTCAGCACACATGATCATTGTTACATATCTGAAAGAGCTCACTGGGCAGAGATCCTATGTGGATTAACAATGTGAGAAATATAGCAATCCATGTTTCTTGTTAAATACATAGAAAAAGCATCACTGTTCAGATAGTTTAGATCTAAGTTTACTTTAAAAATCCCAAGGAGACCTGAAGAAATAATCTATACAGAAGTTAGATGTCAACATTTCTTCACAAATATTCCAGAAATGACAAATCTGAGGTGGGGCTCTCCTTAGTTGCACATGTTGTACAGTTTTCAGTTAAACACTTGTACCTCTCTAGATTTTTTAATCTAGATGTTTTTGTGCATCAACATGGCATCTTGTAACTAAACATGCTCAACTGAAAGGGGCTTTTCACTTTCAAGTATGGATAGTGCCTCCGTACTTAATATTTTGTCTTTAAAACTTAAATTTTTATTTTCTGGTGAATTGTAATGTTGTTTATTTAAAGAGGAGAAAAGTGTAGAAATAATACAGAATTTCAGAAAAATAAACAATAAGAAATCACTAGTTGATTAGTATCATATTGTCATCTTAGAAGTAGTTGTTCAAGTTACAAATTTAAAGCATACAAAGTGATATTCAAATAATGACACTGTCATGGTTCACCTCAATGATCCACCAAAAAGTTATTAATATGCCTATCTGTCCTACACACTTTTTTTTTCTTACAGAGGGTAAGATTAAACATAGCAAAACAGAGCAAAACAGTTCATAAGGAAACAAGTTAAGGAAACACAGATTTCAAAGCAAGTCCACTGGAAATGTTCACTGTCTATTTACTGTCTCTAGTTTTCTTCCAAATAGTTGTTCCCATCCTCACACACATTGAATATATACTGAATATTATAGAACTAATCAAATAATTACAGGATGATGCAAGCTTTTTCGATCTTCAAGACTGATTTTGGGGAAGTCGATAATGACTACCATAATGTCTCTCATTGTCTTTGTAGTAGCTGTCTTTATCTTTATGTATGCTGAAATGGAACATAAGAGACTAGACTAATATCACTCTGAACAGTGAATAATAGTATCCTGAGAAGGAGAAAGGTGAGGAATTGCCTAAAAAAAGTAGGCAGAGGACATAGTTAAAAGTGTAAGGATTTAAAAGCTACAGTAATCTTGACTGATTTTATTCACATTTGGTCTGCTTGCTGGTATGAAGTTCAAGAGTAGAGGCAACTACACTGAAGATGACAAGATGTAAAAGATATTCATTGGTGGGCTGGGGATTTAGCTCAGTGGCTTAAGCACCTGCCTGGCAAGTGTGAGGTCATGAGTTTCATCTTCAGTGCCAAAAAATGAATAAATAAAAGATATCCATTCCAGGTTTGATTATTTTTTTAATTAAAGAGAAAAAAGAAAGGAATAAAGAACAAAGCAGTAAAGGGTACAAGTAATACAGAATTTCAAGAAAAAATACAGTAAGTAATCACTAGTTAATAGGTTACATATTGTCATTGCTAGGGTTATTTCCAAAAGATGAAAAATATTAACAAAAGATGTGAAATATAAAATAAAAAGCGGCCTTTATTCTGAGAACACGGAGAGAAATGACCGGCACCCCCACCGCAGGCGTCCAGCGATCTCTCAGGCGGACACGTGGCGTGGGAGCCTGTAAATAGCCTCGGTTTGGGGTGGAACCTAAGGCAGGCATGAGGGATACACAGGTAGCCCATTGGTCCTAGGTTTGGTGCTATATGTAAATTTCCAGGGGCGGGAAGATGGCGTCACAGGTAGCTTCCTAGGGGAAGGGAGATGGGGCTTCCTGCTTCCGGTTGTGGCTTTCCTGGCTACAGTGTCCTATCTGGGCCAAAATCCTTTCAGTCATCTTAGAAACAGTTGTCCAAATTATAAAATTAAAGCATATAAAGTGGACATTCATACAGTGAGATTGCAGAAAGTTCTGTTCAGTGATCCAACAAAAGCTCAGTAATATGATTTTCCATCCTACACACGCAAGCATACAGTTATATCCCTTAGACCACCTTCCTTTCCTCTCTTTTTTACAATAACAGTTACCCGTTTTGAGGTTTTACTCCCACAGTTCTTATTACATTTTTTTTAAAGAGAATAAATCCTAACATGACTACATAAAACAGAGACAGTTAGAACAGAAGGATGGGCATAGTACATGATGCAAAAATAGAATATCAGATGATCAAAAATGGTTACCATTGTGCCTCTTGCTATTTTTAAAAAGAGTTGCTATATCATCAGGTATAATAGAATTGATCAAAACAGTACAGAACAAGACCAATAAAACCTACACTGGAAACCTTGCAAGACTTCAAAAGAAGATAATAGTCAAACTATAATGGGCATCATAATAAATCTTATTGCCTTCAAAGTGGTTGTCTATACCCTCAAACTTGATACTATCAAACAAAATAGAATATAGTAAAATCAGACAGAACAAGATGTGGAGAGCAATACTGGGGTTCAAATCAGGTTAATAGGAAAACAAATAGTTACTATAATATAGCCCGCTATTTTTAAATTTAGTTTTCCCTTAATTGAAAAAAATTAAAAAGTTTAATTTAAAAAAAGGGTGGAGATTGAGATAAAAGAGGACATTTTAATAGAACAACACTGGTCAGAATGGAACAATTTAAGCATAATTGTGTTTCACTCCCAGATAATCTAACATAATAGTAGTCACCATAGTGCCTCATTCCTTGAATTATTTGAGTATAACTTCATATATGATAGCATCAAGCATATCAAGACAGTGTGAAGCCATTCAACAGAATGAAAGAATTACAGGGTGTTTAGAACCAGTTAACAGAAAAGGAACAATGGTTTCTATATTATCTACATGCCTATAAAAACTTTTCTTTATACTATCACATATAGTAAAATATAGTAAGATACAACATATTAAAACCAGTGGAAACAGATAGTTTGTGAGAGAGGGACCATTTTTGCACCACTGAGATTGAGCCCAGTGTTGATCATGTTGGCTAATTTTGAGTATGCTGGTGAGTTAATGTTGCAAACATTTAGCTGAACACTTTTGTGTATGTTTGGTAGGAATATTAGCCAACAGAGTGTTTTCATTTATATTATTTTTAACACATTATTGTCTGGCTTCATTCTCAGTATTATTATGTCACTTAATAGAAGTTGGTGGTGGATTTTCCTTCAAATTGATCAAAGAATTGGAAAACAATCAGTATTTATTCTTTATTATATACTGGCTAAAATTCACCAGTGCACTTATTGTATCCCAGCTTTGTTGTTGTTATTAAGCAGCCGTGATTTTTACTCATTGTCTGTGCTCCTTATTGCTCTGTTCATCAGACTATTTCCTTCTGATGCATGTGGTTTGGGGACATCAATGGACACCACATATCCATTAAGGGTCACATCTCATTTTACTTATGGATGCTACCATTTATTTTGTATCTTCAAACTATCTCTATAATGTATAATTTTGTGAGTAACTCCTTTCAGTTACTCAGATTTAATGCACACACTTGCAGGGTTTGGTTATTGCTGGAGGAAACTGGGCCTGGTGAGGGCCTGGTCTCTAATTTAAGGCTTCATACCCTGACCTGCCTGCAGTGTCCCCATCTCCTGACCTGCTCCCTATAAACACCTGCCCTGCTCCATAACTATGGTGAGTCCACATGTGGCAGTTCAGATCTGCACCTGGGTGGAAAACATTCAGTCAAGTTGGGCTCTGTAACAGACTGACCTCATACAGAGCTCCCCTGAGTGAGACAGGGGGCCTCAGGCATGTAGGGAGGAGCTCTGGAACCATTCCAGCTCTCTCCTGTGCAGTATACAATGTGTGATGCTTTCCTGAGAACTTACTGATGGATGAGGAGGCCTGGAGCAGGCCTTTTTTAGCCATGGTGTCCTACACCTCTGCTTGGACCATCTCTCTGACTTTAGATTTCCACATAGATCTGAGCAGACTCAGTCTTCCTCTACCAGGCTCTAACTCTATGCTGAGGTTTCAGGTGAAAAATCTGAGACCCTCCAATTAATCTTATATACATTTAACCTGGAAATTCCACTTCTAAGAGCCATTATAAAAATGAGATTGACAGACACCGTATTCTCTTCTTAATCAGTTAAAATGTGGACTGTTAGAAACCATGAATGTTCCACAGCCCAGCTGCTGAGTTAATTATAAATTACAGCCACTGAAAATGCTGAAAGAAGGCCATGTCCTAGGCCATGTCCCTGATCTTTCCTGAGATTGAAGAGAGCTTGTGTCCTGGCTCTCCACCCAGCAGTGAAGAGACACAGGCCTGCACAGCAGGTGAGGACAGGAGAGAGGAGCTGGTCAATGGCAGACCTCTCATCCTGGGAGGGATGCCTTTATGGTTGTTCCATTTTATTTTCCATTGCATTATTTATAGTGCTCCACTCAATATTACTTCTCTTCTGTTCAATTCACTTAAGAATAAATAGTTGGTATTTTCTTGAATAGGTGAGTGGATTTGGATGACTTAATATTCTTTTATATGTAATGTAGGATACGCATATAGAAGAACATTCAAACTTCACTTTATACATATATAAAAGAAGGAGTCTTTTTATTCAGAAAGGCCACACATCATTCATGACTAACTTTTAAACCCCCAACAAATGAAGCCATGCAAATCCCGCTGTTGTGGGTGTCCTGCTCTCCCTACCTGAGAAGTCACTGTGTTCATCTGTGTCTGGTAGAGGACACCCAGAATCTTCTTCAGAGTCTCTTTTTCCAGCAAGGAGGACTTGAATCTTCCTGTTCTCAGGTCAAACAGGGAATGTGCAGCATGCAGAGGAGCCCAGCACCTCCTGAATTACACACACTTCCACCACTCCATTCATGGTGCAGCCCTGCAGGCCCAATAAGGCAGAGCCATGAGGGTGCAGCAAATACTCTGCCACCTCAGCCCCAGGGGCCTCAACTTCTGGGTGGTGGCCTCAGCCTCCAGCATGCTCCAGGCTCTGCTATGGATTAGACATTCATAGTGGGCCAGACACAACATCAGTGCCTTGGGGCAAAGTCCATTTTCCACAGTGACCCTTCCATTCTGCATATTTTGATCCTTTCCTTTCTAAATAAGGCTGAGGCATTGGAGACAAAACCCCACACATTGGCATTACTTTTTGTTTTTCTTTCTTTTCCTCCTCCTCCTCCTCCTCCTCCTCCACCTCCTCCTTCTATTTCTTCTTCTTCTTCTTCTTCTTCTTCTTCTTCTTCTTCTTCTTCTTCTTCTTCTTCTTCTTCTTCTTCTTCTTCTTCTTCCTCTTTCTCTTTGTCTTCATCTTTGTCTTCTTCTTGGTTTCTTTGATGCTTCAAATACTTATTTAGAGGTGTGTTTTGCCAAAAACAGTTTCCT